ACAATAATAATAATAATAATAATAATAATAATAATAATAATAATAATAATAATAATAATAATAATAATAATAATAATAATAATAATAATAATAATAAAAATAATAATGAAATAATAATCAATAAATAATAATAAATAATGATAATAAAAAATAATCAATTATAATGGAGTAATAATGCTAATGGATAAATAATAATCTTGGTATTTATGAAATGACAATTAACCTATTCATGCTTTTTTTGCACTAAACAATACTCAATTTTTTTCTGACCAATATCTTAAAAACATGACTTGTTCACTTTGAAGGCCGTCACGATTTCTTGCCCAGGTAATCGCCGCTTTTGTGATGTCACGCTCTATTGTTAAAACGCGGCCTTGCATCCATTTGTCATTATAATAATGAAAGATCCAACCCTCCATTGGCTTAGCACACAACGCACACACGCACTGACGAGTAAACGGACGAAGACACTTCACTCACTTAGCTTTAGTTGCACACTTATCACTCACACAGCAGTTCCAACCGCATTTCTATCGTAAAGACACGTGTGGAAGTGGAGTAAATGTAGCTAGCATAGGACTGAATTAAAATATTACCACCAGTAAATATAGGACGAAGTGGGAAGTTTTAAGCACTCACGTAGACATTGGAAGTTAGATCTTAGCACTGTCAATGCTTTAGTTTTGAACCTTCCCTGCAATAAGTCGGTACTCTATACACAGTGAAGTGAAGTACACATTTCGATGATTGGTGTGTTTGATTCGAACTCACAGGCGCAGTGAAATAACAAATTTCGAAGTCTTCACTAAGGAATCGTGATACGGCTGGTATAATTTTTCTTCTGGTAAATACTCTGAGAATCTACTAAAGTGGCTGAATTCGAGCCTTACACCAAGCGACGCAAGACGACGGTCACTATGGAGCCCACTGCCCCTGTACCATCAAACGGAGTCGGTGGTATCGTCGCTATTGAAGAAGAGGTATGTACATATTTAAGTTTAAAAATTAATCCACAACATAGATTACTTGTTGAATGTCTTACATACATACATTAACATTACGCTATTCGAATTGAGACTGTTGAATTCATAGTGGAATTAACTTGTGCTCCCGTGGGAATTGGGGTTAATTTCTAAACTATCGTCTGCCACACGATTCTAATAAGTCGTCTGCCAAGTTTTGCAGAACCCTGTTGATAAGGGAAGGTTGAAAGTGGTTTACCAATAATGTCCTGTAGTTTTGTCGGAAGCGCTTAAGTGTGTGTATTGTTTTTAAAGTGAAAGAATGTTACTGTTCAAACACATGTGATGAAAACAGAAAAAAAAATAATAGAAAACAAGCAACAAGCTGTACTTGGCAGTACAGTTTTAAATGCAAATTCAAAAGTAAATAAACAAAAAAGTTTTGTCCAATCAGATAGATGCTTCAGACTGGTCCAATTGTATCAAAGCTGTATAATTTAGAAATATATTTTTCTTTGGGAGGAAAAGTAAATATTTATAATTGTGTACTTCGGAATAATTGTGTGTTTTTAGTACTAACAGTGTTTGTTGATGTCAACTTTTTTTTAATATTTAATATTTTTTCTTCTACTCAATGACTTAGGAACCTGCTGTATTATGTGCTATAAAAATCCCACTTAAACTTTTACTTGGTATTGATATTATTTGCATATGAACAGATAACAAAGATGAGTTGGTCTGTTAGTTAAGTCTCAATGCATATTTGGTGGATTTCTATTCAAGGGACATAGCACAGGCTTAGGATTACAGGCCCTGAATACAGAGCTCCCCCCAAACAATGCCGCCCTTTGAAAATGCGATTGGCTTGAATAGAATGCTCACACTGATTACATAACTACTGTGCATATTCATTGGTCATCCGTCAGATTATGGACGTGTCTTAGATTCCAATCAGATCAATAACCTGGACTATGCAATAGGTATACTTTGCGGGATTAATTTTACGCCAGTTGTCTTCTAGGAAGGGTAACTTGGGGCTCTCTCATGTAGCTTAAAACTACTATTATTTCAATATTTTATTGAAATTCAGTTTAGTGTAAAATGAATTTCTCTACAATGGGATTTGCAATGCATATGATTCCTTATACTCTGAATTATCGATGGAGATGGTGTTGTCTGCTATTGTTGTTGACGGCATAATTCATTATTTTGATAGAATATGGCATAATTTCTTATTTTGATGAAATACAAATTCTTCAGGTCAGATCCAGCAAATATTTTGATGAAGTAAAAGATAAATTCATTGCAGTATGAAGGAGATTGTAAACTGTGTCTGCCATTATCCTCAGTTTTACTGTCAGGTCAATAAAAAAAACCAGTTTAGCTATAATACACTCAAATTAAATACGTCTCTGACATTTAAAAATATTTTTATAGCCTAGTTTACTGTTTCCATAGTAACATTAGAATGCTGGTCTATGATCTCTGTAAAAAAGAAGATTGTGCTGAGCTTAGATTCTCTGATGGTTACCGGAGCTTGTTGACTAGACCATGAAACTTAGTCCGGATTTCTGGCTCCCTCAGACTGTTTATGTGAAATTGAGCAAATGCTATAAAGACAACAAGTGCAAAGAACTCTTTTTGGAAGCTGTTACAATATCCATAATATCCATTGCGAATTTAATTAATTATTCGCCTTTAATAATACCTCATCTCTAGAGAGATCCACTATGATACCCCCAGGCCGGTAACTTTATGAATATTAATACAGCGAGAGATAACAGGAACTATATATCGTTGATAGCGTAATCAATCAACAGGCAGGCGCTTTTAACAGAATTAGAGAATGTGTTGGAAAAACACAATATGATAATGCATGCATAAAGGTAAAACTACATCCTGAATATTCATTATAACATGAGTAGCTTAAACAGAGGTTGGCAATCTCTGAGCTTAAGATTTTCATGTTTCAGTGTTTACCCAGTCAGTTTATTTTTGTCCTGTCTGGTACAATACAAAGTATGCATTCCACATTAGTCAGTACCATATTTGTAGTCCTATAGTATATTTTGAGATTCCTAATTAAGCAAGATTATTTTCAATTGGGTCTTGAAAAATAGTGTTCACCCCAAATAAAAGAGTAAAGAAATTATAATGCTGTGTAATCAATAAACTAAAAAAATAACAATTGTTATATAAGAAATTTTAATTCTATAGTATATTGTGACTTAATTTATTCAGTATTATTTGCAATATATAATCAGTAATAGTAACAATAAAATAAAAGCAAAATAACAAAGTTTGAAGATTTATAATGAAGCCAAACTATTTTCAATTGAGTCTCAAATAAAAAGATTAAAGAAATATCATCAATAATCACAAAAAAATAATGGTTATAAAAATTATATTAAGACTTACCTCATAGAAATAATGCCATGCAACACAAAGCTCATGCGAATGATTGTATTATAAGTTTTTCAAATGTACATTTGTAAATTCAATTTTAGTAATACATCTGTATAATAAAATGGGATTTAATATTTAAAGTTCTCTATGATAAAAGCAGACATTGTTCTGAATACAGTACAGTGTTCCTTAATTTTTACCCAGGGTCATCAATTGAATATAATAAATTAAGAATAAAATAACATTATATGTGTAACAATATTAATAGTAATATATATTGTTTTTTTTTTACCTTTCATATTTAATAATTCTAGCTGACTAGCTTAATTTAATATTTTGCTATGGTGACATTGTACCACAAGCATGCTATGAAGGAAAATATTAAAGAGAATAGTCATATTGTATTGCTAATAAAAATTATTAATGGTACAGGCATAATTTTTTATCTCTGATATTTATGTTTATTTTTATTGCTTTGTATCATTTTATTCTACAGTACCTGTTTATAAAATTATTTGAAGAGTAACATTTAAAATTTAAACCAAATTTTCATATCAATGTGAATGTAACTAGGCCCAGTATAAACAAAAACTGTACAAGCTATATTTTGAAAACCTTCATCTTGGCGCATTAGTTTAATTCCGCGTTTGTAGGCTTTATGCATTCAATTGGAATATTGCTATAGTGGACAATCATGCCAAATACGTTATGACTTCTACTGGTACGCAAAGAGTGTTGCTTATCAGAATAACTAATCATCTTCATAAGTAGAGATGCTATTCATAGCTACCTGTCTTGCAACAATTGGGCATTAAATTTCGCGTACACTTTGCAGTGCATAAAATATAATATCTCTTAGGTTTATAATGATATTATTGTCCATTATTGTATTATAGTCTAGATGTCCACATATTGCACTTTTTTACTTGTAGTGTCTGATTAGTATCTGTACAAAAATGATTTTATTTAATTAGTTTAGCATGCATGGCATGTCTCTATTTAAAAAGCCACTCCAGTCCTTTGAGGTAGAATTGATTAGTGTAATTAACAAAGCGTACGAAATATGACCTGAAGCCGAATGTTTTCTGTTGACTTGCCTTAGTGGCGTGTACGCTGCATTGTTACAACCTGTTGGCTGATGAACATATGGAAGTATCACGTTCAAAAAATCAGACACATAGAACACATTGCAAATGAATTAAAAAGAATTATAAATAATTAATTGACAAATTTAAAATATTAATATATGTAAATTTTTACTTGTTTTGTTGGTATATGTTTTTATTATATATAAATTGATAAATTTAAACCTCTACATTATGTAGTTGTAATATGTGGTAGCTTGTATTTATAATTTTTTTTTTAATGATGATATACAGTAATAATTATGTTATAGTAGGACTATATTTTTATGTTGGTGACATTGAAGTCTCGCTGTAGTATGTCTACTGATAAATAGCATCCATTTTTCATAATAATAATCACTTAATTATTGAATGTATACCTACATTATGCGGTGTATAACCTATGGTACTGTTCCTTATATTAATAATTATATTATATAGTAGCACTATGTTTCATGTTAGTGACATTGAATTTCTTTTCGTAATACTGTATTTCAAGTCTAGGTTGATAAATATCATCCATTTTTAATTGACAATCTATCTGGATGCATTTTACATTTTTTGCCAGATTCGTTTGATTTCTCTAGAGAGTCGGAATAATCATGATTTCACATCTACTCACTCCAACATTAGTAAATTTAATAGAACAAAATATGGGCATGAAATCAAAACAATGTTGTGGTTTGTGACTACAACATTGATACCTTCATTTGGTCAAGTTCGGTTCTGGTCTGATTAATACCAGACACATGCAAAGAAGGCCATCTACCTATCCAGTGAGATTCCAAGTTCAACATAAGAATACAGCTGCAGCGTAATTGAGAATATTGTCATGGCAAGATTTACAGGCGTACTTCAGTTTCTATGGACTACATGAACAGGGATATTATGGTATTCACTCTCTTTAAAGGAGTTGAATGTGCGTTAGTGGTTAAAAATAAAAATCTACAGTACTACATTTCTGTAGATCCTGGTTCGATATGACCTTATGTATCATGTATATTAATCATAAATATACTGTTGCGGGGCTGATACTGCAGTAGAAGAGATAGAGAGAAGAGAACATGGCGTAATTACATCAAAACATACATCAGAAATAACAGCTTGTGAAATAATAACTAAATACAATAGAAACAGATTGAAAATACTGGTTAAGGACTTCAAGTGGCTGAAAGATTCTAATTGATTGAGTAATTGATTCTAAAGGAAATAAGCTGGGAATAAAACAAGCATTGTAAGTGACAGAAATTTTACTTTGGAATCTATCGGTATCAGATAGATCAAAATTTGTTTAGAAAAAAACAAACAAACAGGAGATCATCTGCTTCAATCAATCAATCTATCAGTCAATCAATCTTTTATTTTAAAATATATTTGCTGGGCATTTACTAAACTGATGTTTGTCGGTCGTTGCAACTTAATTGAGAACGCAACACAACAAAGCGCGTGCCACTGACAATTAGCAGATGTTTTCGCATCATCATGTGCTCACATATAGCTGAGATAGATTCACCGGTCGAAGGTCGATGACGTAGTGTGTGTCCGACTACCGTGAGAAAAATTTAGCCCGAAACAGTAGTACTGTAGGCCGATGCTCACAATCATGGAGTCCTCACAAAAAGCTAAATTTTTCTTGTACAACAAACCTTTATCATGATTGTTGTAAATAAACATTCATGCACCAAGTACTCAAAGCTTGTGTATCAAATATATTTGTTACACATTTGTTTTTTATTGATTATTTGAATAATACAGCTTCTATTTTTGTTCTCGTACAGTATTAAACATTTTTTAAACTAATTAATAATTAAATTAAGTATGTACTTATAATCAATAATAAGCCACAATTTCATATTAAAATGTACAATTTTAAAATATTAAAGAAACTGATTTTCACCAGTATATTTCTCACTATGTTTACCATAGATTCACCTTTAAATGTGCATTAATAAAAAAAAGTAACATAATTTTAGTGATAACACCATCTG